GTGAGCGAGCTCATCCCGCTGAGCGGCTCGACGGATCGCGTGACCATCCACGGCTTCGTCTCGCGCCCCCGCGCCGGCCACGGGCGCCGCGCCTCCGACCGGCAGTACACCTTTGTTAACAGCCGCCCCGTCGACTTTCCTCGCCTCGCGCGCGTCGTCAACGACGCGTTTCGCGCCTCGACGGCCAAGTCGGAGTGCTTCCCCTTCCTGCTGCTCAACCTCGAGGCCGTCGCCCGACGCCGCATCGGCCGTGCAACCAGTCCCTTCTCCTTGATGTCTCCCCTCGCCAACAGGCGCCGCCGGACGCGTACGACGTCAACGTGACGCCCGACAAGAGGACGGTCTTCTTCGTCGACGAGGTGGACACCCCTCGGCCGCCTCCCGCCCTCCCCCCGACCCAAGTCCCCCTCCGTTCCGATGCACCTCTCCTGCCTTCTCGCGCACCTCCCTGTCGCCTCCCCACTCTCGCCCGGCGCCTGCCTGCACCCGGCCGCCCTCCCCGCGCCCTCACCCTGGGACCCAGGCGGCGCTGCTTGGCTGCATCGGAGAGATGGTGGCGAAGCTATTCGCCGCCGAGTCCTGCACTTTCGCCGTCCATACGCCCGACACGCTGCCCCTCGCACCGCGCCCAGCCGCCGCCGCAGAGAGCAGCAGCAGCAGCAGCAGCAGCAGCAGCAGCAGGCGGGTTGGCGGGGATGGTGGCGACGGCGGCGATGGTGGCGGCGGCGGCGGCGGCGATGGTGGCGACGGCGACGGCGGCGGCGGCGGCGGCGGTGGTGGCGGCGGTGACGGCGGTGACGGCAGTGGCGGCGGCCACGCTGGAAGCGGCTCAGCCGCCGGCGGTGGCCGCAGCGAGGAGGCGGCGTCGCGCTCGGAGGCGCCCCGCGGGACCAAGCGCAGCCGGGCCGTCCCGCACGGGGGAGTGCCGCGGGAGGGAGCAGCGAAGGCGCGGGCTCTGGCCGGACGGGGGAAGGGGGATGCGGCGGCGGAGTCAGAGACGGAGGAGGAGGAGGAGGAGGCAGAGGTGGGGCAAGAGGAGCAGCGGTCGCTTCCTCCGCAAGCGACTGCAAAGCGGGTGACGGCGCCGGCGCCGGAGTCCGCCGCAGCGACCGCCGCAGACGTGGCGGGGGAGGCGGAGGGTGCGGGAGGAGAGGTGGCGGCAGAGGCGGCCGCCGACGCCGTCATGGAGGACGTGGGCCAGCGCGAGGGCGAAGCGGCGGAGGAGGGCGAGGCGGCGGAGGCGGCGGACGGGGACAGCGGCGGCGGCGACGGGCGGGAGGCGGGCGGGCGGGGAGCTTCCTCCAGCGACGCGCCCGGAGGCGGCAGGTCGATCGCCGACGGGCCAGGCAGTGGGGGTGCGGGCACTGCGGGGGCGCCGGACGGCTCTCGCCCGTCGCGCAGGGAAGCGTCGCGAAGCAGGTCGCCGTCAGGGGACTGCTCGGCTGCCCCTGCCCGGCGCTCCCCGCCGCCGGCAACGGCGCTGGCGCCGACAACGGCTCCGGCGCCGCGCGAGCCGAGTACCACCAAGCCTCGCGCGGAGGGAAGGGGGCGTCGACAGGCGAGGGAGAGGGAGGAGGGGTCGGCGGAGCCGGAGTGCTCAGAGGCAGCGCCGGAGGCGGGGGCGGCGGCGGACGAAGAGGCGGCGCCAGAGACGGACGGGTTGCTCGAAGCTTCGCTGGTCGAGGCGCTCTTCACGCAGCTGCGCGAGCTGCAAGAGGCGTCCGCCGAGGAGGAGCGCTCGCCGCTGCAGACGCTGCAGACGGCCTGCACCATCTTTTCGCAGCAGATAGCGGCGTGCGGCTCGGCGGAGCCTCCCGCGGCGGCGGCAGCGGCGCCGGGGGAGGGCGCTGATGAGGGGGGCGTCGTGCCAACCGTGGTGAGGTGCGCGTCGCGCTACATCAAGGGCTGGCTGAGCCGTCACGGCGGCGACGAGGCGACGGTCTATGAGCCGGAGATTGAGGCGCCCCTCGCGGCTTGCGGCTTCGACTGGCAGCGCGAGGCGTTCGAGACGCCTCCGGACGCCGCCGCGGTGAGCGACGCCTTCGCAGACCTCGCCCGCACGCTGCTCTCGCGGGTCCCGGCGCCGCCGGCGGAGGGAGCCGCGCCCCAGCCCGCTGGCACCGGCCGCTTTGGCGGCCGAGGCGCCGCCGGGCGTGGCAGGCGCCGCCCGCCCGCCCCTCCCGCTCCCGCCGCCCGGCCGGCGGCGGCGGCCGACGCGGAGACGGCCTTGCCGCCGCTCTCGATCGCGCGTGACATTGGCGTCGCTTTCGACATGGAGTCCTTCAGCGCGCAGTATGCGCTCGCTTGCTGTGCCGCCGGCGGCGGAGGCGACGCGGCGGGTGCGGGTGCGAGCCTCGGCCCCGGCGGGCGGCTCGACTCTGGCCCGGCTGGCGGCGCGAGCCCGAGCGTGCCGAGCTCGAGCGTGCCGAGCTCGAGCGTGCCGAGCGCAGGGAGCCTCGAGGCCGCGACCCGGGCGGCGGGCCGCGCGGCGGCGGAGAGCGAGGTGGAGGGCGAGCTGCGCCGCGTGCTGCCGAAGGCTGACTTTCGCACGATGGAGGCCGCGAGCCAGCAGAGAGTCGCAGAGAGTCGCAGAGAGTCGCAGAAGTCCGTGCGAGGGCTCTTGCTCCACTTCCAAGCGCTTCCCACAGCCTGCCAACCTCCCCCTCCCCAAAACCCACCCACTCGCCGCCACCACCGCCACCACCACCCACAGCCTGACCCCCACCCCCCGCCAATCGCAGGTGCTCGGCCAGTTCAACTTGGGCTTCCTGATCACGCGCCGCGGCGACGACCTCTTCATCGTCGGCCAGCCTAGACCTTTGCATTCCGACGGGCACTCGAGACGACACGTACTCGTACTCTCGGTCGTATTCGTAGCCCCATCACTCACGCGATGCTCCGAGTGCACTGCACGGGACCGTGTTCGCGCCCCGACTCTGGCGCGTTCATGACGCAGGTCGACCAGCACGCCGCCGACGAGAAGTTCCGGTTCGAGAACCTGCAGCGCTCGACCAAGCTGCACACGCAGCGGCTCATCCGGCCGCTGCCTCTCCACCTTACCGCCGTGGACGAGCTCACGGTACGAGATCGCCCGAGATCGCCCGAGATCGCCGATGACGAGCTCGCGGCGCCCGCGCCAGCCCCCCCCCCCCCCTCCCCCTTTCCCTCAGGTGATCGAGCACCTGCACATCTTCAAGGACAACGGCTTCGAGGTGCAGGTCGTGCAAGACGCGCGGCCGACCGAGCGGCTGCGTCTCCTCACCCTCCCCTTCTCCAAGCACACCGTCTTTGGCGTGGCCGACGTGCACGAGCTCATCGCGCTCCTCACCGAGGCGCCCGGCGCCCACGCGCGCCTCCCGAAGCTGCGCGACATGTTCGCCTCGCGCGCCTGCCGCGGCGCCGTCATGATTGGCACCGCGCTCGAGCCGCAACGGATGCGCACCATCGTCTCCAACCTCGCCGGCCTCGACCAGCCGTGGAACTGCCCGCACGGGCGGCCCACGCTGCGCCACCTGATCGACCTGTCAAGCCTGGGTGGCACGGCCGCGGCGAGGTCGTTCCGCTCTTTCGAGCCAACAGGTTAGGAATCGTGATCGGGACCCCGGAGCTTCTGGTCTTGCTAAACCTGTCTTTGAAGGGGGCTTGAGACGATGTCCAAAGAGTAATGGAAATCTCTGCGCAAGACCAGTAGATCGTTGGGGTAGAGATAGTAGAGTAATGGAAATCTCTGCGCAAGACCAGTAGATCGTTGGGGTAGAGATAGTAGATTAAGACTGGAGATCCTAGCGGATCTCTCACACGGACACGCCCAAGTCTCGCCAGTAGATCCGTCCTGTCCGGTTCCCCATTCAAGACTAAAGATCGAAGATTGAGATTGTGGATTGCAGATCGCTCTGAGCAGCAACAGGGCCAAAATGTGGAGATAGGAGATGGAGAATGCAGATTGTAGATCCTAGCGCCCAGCCATCCGCCCCAGATGTGAGATCGAAGATTGAAAATGGAGGTCGTAGATTGCTGCCGGCGGCGACAGTGGCCAAGTAGAAGATTGGAGATTGGAGATGAGAGATGGTCAGTGTGAATGAATCCAAATTGCATCTCCTTGAAGGTTTGAGCCCCCCTCCTCCCCCCGGGCCCCCGAATCGAGATTGGAGATTGGAGATTGGAGATTGAGATCGGAGATCTGATCCGGCCTAAGATGACGACGTTGGAGATTGGAGATTGAAGATGGAGATCGGAGATCTGACTGGATCCCCGGCCTAAGATGACGACGCTGTGGATTAGAGAATATTGGAGATGGGGAGATCGGAGCCCACCCACCCCCTAGAGCCTAGTGGTGTTGATAGATGTTTTATAGATTTTTGTTTTTTCCTGTGGTCTGTGCGCGGACGGCCCGGGGAGCCTGCGGCGCCATTTTAATCTGCGCTCCTCTTTATGGCCTGCGGCGCCTGGCTTGAGCTTGGAAGTGTAAACGAGTCCGCCAGGGCGGTCTGCAAACGGAGCGCGCTGCGCGCGCGGTCTATGTACGCGGCCTATGCCGCACTAGACCATTTGCCCAGTTGGCACCCTGAACCCTGATTCCGCCCCCCGTTCGCCGTCCAAACCTTCGCACCACCTCCCCTTCTCGGTTCTCTGTCACCTATCCCTCCCCTCCCACTCTCTTTCCCCCCTTCCTTACCTTCCCTTCCATCCCCCATCTTCATTCCTTCCTCTCCTTCTTCTTACCTTCCCTCCTCCCCCACCTCTCCACCTTCGTCTCTTCTCCTCTCTCCCCCCCCTCTCTTTCACCTTTCCCTT